AAATCCTATATTTCCATTAATTAATTAAAATAATAATGATTCTAATTGAAGATTGAAAGAAACTTTGACCAATTTATATAGAAGATTTCCTTACAATTTTTAACAATGAGATTCTATCCACCATAAACATAAAGTTGACCCATTTTGAAGAGAAAAAAAAAAACTATTCTCTTCTCCTAATTTATTTTCTAAAACTAACATTTTAGTGCTGGAAGAAATGGTGTGATACATTGTACATAAAGATTTTAATTGTTGTTATGAGTTGTAATTTAGCTTTTTCTTCTTATATTAGTTGAAATTTAGCTTTTGGGGAATATCATAAATCCTATATTTCCATTAATTAATTAAAAAAATTAAAAAGTAAATATTTAAATTGAAGATTGAAAGAAAATTTGACCAATTTATATAGAAGATTTTTTACCATTTTTAACAATGAGATTATATCCTCCATAAACATAAAGTGGACCCATTTTGAAAAAAAGAAAAACACGATTATATTCTTCTTATTAACTTCTAAAACTAACATGTTAAGGCTTCACATAAATGGTGTAATATATTGTACATAAAGATTTTAATTATATATCACGAATTTAGTACATTATAGGTTAAATATAAATAGAACGCTAATTTTTTCACTTATAGCGGGTTATGAATATATATGTCTCGGAGTGGATGTACGTTAATCAATCTTTTTTTTTGGTGCAATGTTTTTGTGATGTAGATATTTATATACTTGTCATATTTATCTTCAAGATGTAGATATTTAACCTCTTTATAAAATATCTATACCGTCGTATATGGCTGGGTTTTGGACATTCATCACATACAAAATTTATGTTATCTCATACAAAAATATGAGTTTTATCTTACAGGAGAACTGGTAGAGTTTTACATATAATGTATAAGTTACTTTAACATTAATTAAGTTATCGAGATAAAATATGATGGGCTAATGTATAAGTATGCATACAAGTTATGGTTTTATGGTTTTGGTTTTATAGGTTTAATTTGATTAGGGTATTATTGCTTTTACGATTATCTTCTCCTTATTTTTGTTGGACTAGATAGACTCAAATCATATGGTGTTTTCTTATAAATACCGTGAGAACTCAATGGGAGAAGGATATGAGAATTATTTATCAGAAACCGTTTGTATCATTGTTTTTTAGCTCTTGATTAGAACCTATCAATTGGTATCAGAGCCATCTTCTCGCTTTTGATTCGGACCACTTCGTGGTATCAAAAGCAACCTTCATTCACCATCTATCTCGGTTTTGATTTGGACCACACTTTATGGTATCAAAACCTATTTTTTTTTTATCATGTTTCTCGGTTTTGATTTGAACCACATTATTTGTGGTATCAAAACCTTTATTTATGTATGTATCTAAAAAAAAAAAAACGTTGAGGACACATGAAGAATAGGAACGGGTTGCAGAAGTTTTCTTGAGTTGGTCACAAACCTTGAGGACAAGGTTATTGTTCGAGGGGAGGGTATTGATGGGCTCATAAAACATGACCGGCCCATACAATTTTATGGTTTTATGGTTTTGGTTTTATAGTTTTAATTTGATTAGGATATTGTTGTTTTTATGACTATCTTCTCCTTATTCTTGTTGGACTAGATAGACTCAAATCATATGGTGTTTTCTTAGAAATACTGTGAGAACTCAATGAAAAAAGATATGATAATTATTTAGCAAAAACCGTTTGTATCATTATCTTTTAGCTCTTGACTGGAACCTATCAAAATATTGGTTGTTTCACATGAATGAGTTTGAGTGTTTGACTTTAGTATAGATATCATAGTTTTGGTTATATTATGTTGGTAAGTTCTTTGTTTTGTTTTCGAATAATAACACATTTTTACCTGTATTGTTAGTATCATTTATTTTACATGTCATTTTTTTGTCGTCAACTTAACCTTCCATTACACGGAAAATTAAGGTACATCATTCCACGATATTACGAATTTTAACTTTTAAACTATAGCATCTGTAGCTAAGTAATCAGCGACATAGTTAACAACATGAAGATTTTTTGTAAAACTAATCTGATCGTAAGCCTTGTGCAATATTCCTAATATCTTCCTTATGAGTTGAGAAAGCATAATGTTCACGTCGGTGGTGTTGATGGTCAACTGAAGAGTCTATAAGTCTCTGAAACAGATTTAATTAAGGCATCACCACAAAACATAACATTCTTATACCCCAACCTGTTCACATGCATCATTGCCAACCTTAAGGACTCTGCTTCTGTTTCAATAGGTGTGGTCATCAGATTGATGGATGCCATTCCTCGGAGTACAAACTGAACATCCTTGTTGTAAAGCACCCATCTTATTCCTGCACATTCTTTCGGAGAACTCCATGATTCATCTACAAAACAAACATAAGTTTGCGATTTGTGAATAATATTACGGAGTTCATGCCTTATATCCAACACCTGTTTAGATTTGTTACAATCTCTAACTTGATTTTCTGTTGGTTTCTCCTGATTAACTTTTAAGCTTTCTGTCCACTGTTGGTAATCTAACATATATAGCCTTGTTTATAGTATTTGTAATTAATATAGATCATCTCTCATTTTCTGAATACGCCATATCAATAAATTAGTCTTAGAGGTTTTCTAATTAAAACATTATCGAAAAACCAACGATTTTTTTTATTTTATGACACGTATTCACAAAGTAGGAGCAAGCTTCCGTACGTCGTTCTTCCAAAATGTTTTTTTTTCTTTCTAAGGGCAATGGAAATGAGCTTATTTATGCTTTCGAAGAAAACATATCAAAATCACAGACGAAGCTTTTATGCATACATTGCCCATTATTAATGATGAGTATGTGCGTGACGCGTAAATCATCTTAAACTTGGTAATCATAGACTCTTTTTTTAGTTAAAACGAACAATATTTTGGAAAAGATTTTAAAGACACGAGTAGTATAAGATCACATCCAAGATTTAAAATATTTTAATGTAATCATGAATCTCTACATAAATTATGTAACATAATACATATATACGGATGCCGTGTTAATTCCGAATTCCAGTAATCTGCATGCATTTCGAGTTCTGTTAGACAGGACAATGAACTCATTGGTTTAATAATTTAAATTTGTTATGAGTTTATGACTTGAGGTTTGGTTGGACGAACCACCGCCTTATCCATTCCTCTTGTTAATTTATATTGCCAACAACTATCTATATTTCTCATTTCAGGAACCATTATTGAGAACCAAAATGTGTTGCCTCTTAAATGGCCACATTTAAACAAAATCCACCGGCCGGTCATGCATGGAAATTTTTATATGCTCTAGTTAATACTCCGAAATTCAATATACAATTCTCCTTTTTTCGATACGTCAATTTAAAATTTGAGGGAGAAAAGGAAAAATCAACCTACAATCTATCCAATGGCCTCATTTCCAGAGCATATGATTTTGTCTTAAATGCAGTGTTCTATTTTTTGCTGTGTACTTTTTCATACACTGTACTTAACAAACCTAACAAATACTACTCTACAATAATGTGAAAATTATAGACTTATAAACGAACAAAAATAAAGAAATCACACACTCTTTTTTTGTTTTTTATTTGTGGTACATATATGCGGGCTAGCCAGAAGCTACAAAATCATAAAATTAGACACTAAAACCCTAAAGATGAGTCGGTAGAAAATATCACAAAACCTATGAGATTAAATCGAACATAATAGAGTGAAACCTTACTTTTATATGTATGATTTAAAAATTGTATTGACTATAATTTAGACTCTCATTTAAACTCAATTGTAACTTCTACCAATCAATAATAATTTGTAACTCTTACTCAATAATGATAAGAGTTTCACCACTTCTCATCTATAAATATTCATTCTCTTATCATTCTTCTCATTCTCTTACATGAGTTAAAAAACAATTGTGCCATAGCGATGGTAAGAGTTTGATTGTAAAATTTATTTTTAGAGATTATCCGATATGTAGTTTACATTGTATTCAATTTCTATTTTGTTTATTTTATTTTTAGTGATTAAATGGTATATATGTAGTTTTTGTATTCAATTTTATTTTGTAATTACCGCAATACAAGAATATTTTTCTTTCGTCTTTAGTTTTCAAAATTTTTACTATAATATTTATCTATTTTTCCGATTTATCTATGGAAGTTCAAAAGCTAACTATTCTTTTTTTTTTTTTTTTTCATCAAGCTAACTATTCTAATATTCTCACAACAAGTGAATCAAATTGAAATGATCTATCTTCGTTTTCCACTATTGATGTATCATTATTCTCTTTATATATTTATTTAAACAAAAAAATTATTCGATATATAAACAATTTTGTAATTAAAAGTTTTAAGGCATTACTCAATTATATGTTCCAACATGTAGTGATGTAAATATTATTATAGTATTTTTAGTGTATTTAAGGTTTGTGGTTAAGATTATTTGTTTCCAACAAAATTAAACTAATAAAAACAGTTAGATAATCCATATCAAATGTTTAAATAGCATGTGAGAAATAGTATATTTAATGAAAAATGTATGATATTAATGTTAATAATTGTTTTTTTGCATCAAGTACACAAAAAGTATGATCGTATCTAAATAAGTTAAATTTTCTTGAAATTGAATATATTAGAATTTAGAATTAATAAAAATATAATAAGGTGTTAGATCTATCTAGAAAATACACTATTCTTTATCTATATTTTTAATTACGATATACAAATAATTGAAAATATTTCGAGTCATAATAAGTAATGTTAAAAATTTGTACACCGTAAACATAGACGAATTTGTGTAATAATATTAAAAACATAATATTCTTTTAGCATTTATTTCAAATTTTAAATTTTCTTTTACAATAAAAATGTAACAAGTCTTACGCGTAGCATGGCTACATTCATCTAGTAAAAATACAAAAATTAGCATTAGGGTGCTACGAAATTGTCTAAAAATTGATGTTTTCAAAAGAGATTTATATAACTCAACTTAATTTAAAACAAAAAATCATTTTAATGAAACAGAAAACTTTGTAGAGTTACACCTCAAAGTGAATGTCCCTAAAGGTCTCAGCTATTGGAGTAAACCGACCAAACAGTATCAGAAAAAAGCCATATTGCATCTTCCTCTGGTCTCCACTGGTTTCTTCAGACAGAGAACCGGCTTCTTCTCGAATCATCCTGCGTATAGACAACGATTAATTAAGCCACACGAGAACTAAAACATGAACAAAAAGATGATAGCTTCTGTGAAGAAGTGTAATTACATGGTTGTTGAAAGTTATCTTGTCGGTGACATCAAGTATCTCCTTCCACTTCTTCCCAATACCCATCTGGATAACAATAACAAACAACAAGTGGTATATTCATCAGATCGATTCATAAACCAATCTTAACATACTGCAAAGTTCTAATCAGATTAACATAGACAAAGATAGCTATGTTTATAATGGTAACGAACAATAAAAGGTGGTTTACTAGATTTATCTACAAACAACTCACAACACATAATCTAAACATTAACAAAACTATTTTACTATTGCAGAAGAAGTATCTCAATGATTAGAAGCTAGTAAAACTCCCAAGGACAGGCAATAAAGCAAGTTAAGTATCAAACCCACTAGTTAGTTCTATGAGTGGCATTGAGAATTTTTGTCACAAGTGTTAATACTTTCTAAGGTTTCCATAGCTCGGCTTGTGCTAGTAACGAAAAAAAAATGGAACACAATATCCAAACTAAATCCGGATATCCCAAGAAAACAACGATTATAATCATGAATATCCAACACCAACATCAATATGAACATTGTGAGAAGACAAACATCATACCAGAACAGCTTCATTTGATTTAGTCCTAGTCCACAAGGAGAGCTTGTCTTGCTTCGCCTGTGGGCGGACACTAGCAACCACACCACAAATCTCATCTGCCTCATCAAATTGCTCTCCAATTAAAGCCATCAACTACAAAACACGAGATAGAAACCAGTCATTAAAGCCACATATTGTCTAATAAAACACAGAAGAGTAAAAGGTTAGGTTAGAGAATGTAATACAGTTTCAAGCCAGCCCTTGTCTAAATCTTCCTTCCTGTTACTGCCAGTAACAACCCAAGTCCACTTTCCTCCATTAGCACACTCTGGATCTTCCCACTTTGGCTCAACACCAGCTTTGAACAAGTGAATTTCAGCTTGCGCTGTCAATTTGCTAGTCTGGAATATTGTCTCTCGCAAACTACAAAATCAAATATTAACATTCTGAGATTTTTTCGGATCCAGAGACATAGACTATATAGATTTACATAGATCGAGATTCACAAAAATCCCAGATTTAGAAGCTACCAAGCAAGAAGGCATTGACAAACGAATTCAAAATCCATAGATACATGTTTGAAATCAAAGGAGGACGAGAGAAACACAAACCCCCAAAAATCTTCGACGGTGTCGAAAGTATAGGCTTTACGAAGAGAAGCTCCCCAGGGGACGCCTTTCTTTGATTGGTTATCGAACCAGAAACTCCACTTTCTTTCGAGCTTGTGTGGTTGTTTCTCCGCCTCTGTCGCCGGTAATTCCGCCGCCGCCGGGAGGGACTCGTTCACATCATCGGTCGCCATATTCTTCGCAGTTGTGTTTTTCTTCTGAGACGGCTCTTGTTGAGAGAGAGAGATTGTTTGTGAGATATTTGGGAAAATGGAATGGTTGGTTAAGTAAAAAGGGCTTTTCAGAACTTTATTGGGTCAATTTTGGGCCCGGTCCACCAGAACACTTAACTCTTCTTTTCTTTTCTTATTCTCTTGGTATTTTAAAAACTAAAAATAAAAATCTGCAAAACTCCCAATAGTCAAGGGTTTAAAGAATTTTGTATACACAATGTATGAGTTTCGATTTCTAAAGAATGGAATTGCATACATATAGCTAATGCAAATCTTAGTTAGCATCAAATTCGTGGGAAAAAAATTTAGTTAGTATCAAATTAGACAATATTGTTTACATTATATATTCTAGAATAATAAACAATATGCAAAGATAAAATCAAGTTAAATTAGATTTCTAAACAGACTCGTTTAATTGTGTAATAAGATAAAAATATATATATATATATATATATATATATACACAAATTAGTTGTAGTTGTTATTATGTACGTATAACAAGATGGTTGAATTGCTCAAACCTTCTCTCCAAGAAGCTATTAAAATCATAACTCGGAAAGTTTGCGTAGATCGTTAAGCCAGCTCGTAACAAACTTACCTCTTCATCACACTTTGGATCTAATGAATGGAAGAGTACAGTAAATACACTGCAAAAGAAAAAATGTGTTACAATTTTCCAAATATATTTTTAAATAAATAGTATATCTTAAGAGTTCAGGAAAATATGGAGAAATAGTACATTCAAATTTTGATTTGGGATTTTTTTTAACTGAAAACTTAACTTGTCAAGATGTGTTTATAAATTAGTATAATAGTAGGCAATTCTCAAAAATACCACTTAAATAAGTTTTTTGTTCCAAAAGTATCATCACTAATTTTTTTCATTAAGAATACCAATAACAGATTTTTTCGAAAATACCGCAAAACTAACTAAAATTTAAACCTTCAAAACGAAATCCTAAAACCTTAACACAAAATACTAAATCCAAACCCAAAATTTAAATTAGAAACCCTTAAAAAATCATTTTTAGTGTTTGTGGTATTTTTGTACTAAAATGTTTGTAGTGGTATTTTTGGAAAAAAAAAACTAATGATCAAGTGATTACTATTAAAATGACAAATCGTATGTTATTCTAACATGAATTTTAAAATGTCTTATAAAATCAAGTGTTATAAGATTAGTAATTTTAAAATATACAATCAAATCCGCGGTTATTAGAAACATTTTAAGTAATGGATTTGAAGTGATTTGAGTGACTTTCGTTGAGATTTCAGGAAATTTCTTTAGTTAAAAATACAAAGATACAAATCCCATAGTTTTAGGTGTGATTTGAAAGAATTTTAATAATAAATTTCTTTATTCACCAAAATCATCTCAAAACTCAAGTCACTCTATCTTCATCATTCAATACATACATCCCTCTTAGTTTAATGGTATTTTAGGGTATTTCTCTATAATAGTAAAACTAGGTTAATTTTAGTTCTAAACCTTGTAACTTTTCTTTCAGACTCAATTTAAATAGGCTTCTTTAGCATGGTTGGGAGTTAGAGCAATTTTTTATTTGCTAATACTTGTCCCAACCAAGACCACAACAATTTTAATTAAAAAGGTTAGAAGTAAAAAACGGAACAACTTTCATCTACCCAGATATAAGAGATAAGACCTCTACATCTTTTAATGTAGTATTTGGTTGAATATGAAACGCCTATATTTAATTGTACTTAAGAATCCGACTCATATTCTAAAAGTGGACACTTAAGGTTAGAGATGAAACGGGATGATTAATATTCGACAATGTTGTGACTTTTATCTATTGTGTATGCTTCGACGAGTCTGATAACCATATCCTCCAAACCATTCGTCGATGGTAGGACGAGACATTATGCTCTTAAAAAAAGTTGTGACGATAAGAAATTTTATTTACTTTCAGCAAAGAAAACTTGGGACCAAAATCAGAAAATCACAACTGTGAGTGTCTTGGTACAAAGTGGGTTGATTTCTCAATTAATCCTAAGATATTCCTTAAATCACTTGACTAATGACTAATTGCTTGAGATAAGCTATCAACATGTTCAAAAACCCGTACCTGGAAAATTATTCAACAAATTTTACTTTGCGTTGAATCCATTGAGACAAGAAATTACTTGTTTTTTTGCTTGTTCCTACGTTTATATAATTTGCATTATGTTATGTGGCAAGCCTATTTGGACACAAAATAAATCGGGTTTGGTTAATCATTCCTCAAGCTCTTGTTTAGAATCACATGCCAACAAAAGATTTTATTCTAGTTAGGCTGGCATTGTAAACTTTAATCTACTAAAGTGGAGAGAGCGAAATGGAAGGCAACATCAACATTAACTTCACTCTCTGTTTCACTTTGTTCAAACCATCGACCAGATGATAAGTGATAACGTATCACATCCTCTCCTTACATTACACACACTAAAGCAACAATAAGACTTTCTTTTTATCGCTAAATGAACATCACCGACCTTCCAAATGTATGATCGATCTTCTTATTCCACTAGTGGCTTTACTTTTTTTAAGTTTTTTTTATCTAATCTGTTGTCAAAATTTTATTTTCTATTTATTCTTACATTGTAAATAATTTTTTTCTTTTTTTAATAAAGGAGCATATACAAATGTTTTGTAAATTCATATTTTAGTTTAATTAAATTCATATTCCTGCATTGTAAATAATTTGTTTGTCGATTGATAAATTTCAAATTTCATCAACAACAAACAATATGAAGTAGATTGCGTAAATAATTTACTTTTAAGACCTTCATCTATTTAAATGACATGAGTTGTAAATAATATCAATTTACGGTTTTCTACCAATTAATATATCCTATACTATTATTTTGGAAGTACATAATTGAAAATAACATTACCCTATGTAAGTAATTACATTATAGTGCCATTGGAAATAAAATTTCAAATACCAAATTAATTCAGCTCATTAAAAGTATACAAGTCAAATACTAATTTATATAATTTCATCAAATTTTATAAAACAAAAATACATTAGTAATTTTCAAAAATGAATAACCAATCAAAATGAACAATTACAATATTAATTTTTTATTAATTACTATACTTTACCTATCTTCTTTATATGATTCTATTTTTGTGAAACAAATATATAATCATATCGACTATATAATAATAAAACTCATACAAATCTCCATTTCAACAACCAAAGAACTACAAATTGAAAAAGAAACTTTCTAGATTTATTCAAAATAATAGCTAACTTCCTTAATTAACAAAATAATCTACATTTTAGATGAGGCTCATTTATGATATCCGGATTTTTGATCTAACGGAATTATATGGAATCTCATTTTGTGGTTGTTAACGTAAATAATTGATTGTTCAAACAATATTAATTTTTAAAAATAATATATTACTTTCCATTTCCATATCTTAAAAACAAGTATCCATAATTAAGTATTATATAAAAAGAAAAATATATTTATTCGAATATTATATATAAGGACAGACAAAAAGAAAACTTCACTTACTACTATAATATATCAAAATTTTATTCTAAAATATATAATATATAAAATTTTGTACTAAATTTAATTTAACCCGTGCTATATAGCACATATCATGATCTAGTAGGGTATATAATCTATACTTTCATAATAATATATTTTTATAAATATATATCGTAATGTATATAGTTATAAAATTTACACAAACAATTTAATTATAACCACTAATTTTTTGCTTGGAAAATTTTACAAATTGAAAGCCAACACCCAATTTTTTTTATAAATTCATATTTTAGCTTAATTAATGTATTTTGCGATTTGTCTAATAGATAGACTATTTTGTACTCGAAATCATTTCAATATACAATTACTAAAAGCAATATGTGTATTTAAATTAACATATTTACCATGTTTACTTCTTCTTCTATTGTCAAATTACTCTCTTTTTTTTATAGAAAAAAACAAACATTCAACCTTTCCCATTATAGGATTAGGAATGGTAATGTCTTCAACACCATTGACCAAAGTTAAGGAATGTCTTTAATATTTTTGGAACCTAAATGCTAATATACCACAATCACTTTTGAGTATTGAAGTTGAGATAGAGGAGGTACAAGGACACCTTATCTGCAGAAGACAAAAAGCCATTTTTAGTAAAACTAAAGAAAAAAAAAAAAAGATTGAAACACAAATATGCGCCACTCGTAGTCCACCCCTATCTCTTTGGCAAAAGCCAACTTCACTCTTTTTCTTTTTATATATTAAAAATAAAGATTCTTAAGGCTCTTCATATTTTGCTTTTTGTCAACTCTTTCTTTGCCATCTGTTACAAACACCAAACTCTCCTGATTCATCAGTTTTAAGTCTTCTTCAAGTCCCAGGTAACTTCTCTCATTTTCCTCTGTGTTTTGTAACTTTTTTTCTAGCATTCTTGATCTGTTTGTTCTTGTCACTTGTTTTGTTTCTGGTAAGAGAATAGAATCTTGTTGTAATAAAGTTAAACTCTGTCTTTCATTTGCTAATTAAGCTTTGATTCCAGTAGATCTTGGGTCCACCATTTTACTAATTAATCCACACTCTCTCTACTTTTTGAATTATAATCAACATGGATCATCACACCTTTTTGGTATTTTAATGAATCTCTTTGTCCTTTGCTTTTAATTTAATGTATTTGGTTGCTTTCTAATCACTTTTTTGCCTAGTGAATTTGGTTTAGTTTAATCAACAATCTGGTCAAGAATCTGAATGATTTAGACCAAAGTACACAAGTGTTTAGATTCCTGATTTGGATTTTGATTTTGATCAGGGATCAATCCAATGGCACAGATCTTAGCAGCTTCTCCACCATGTCAGATGAGAGTGCCTAAACACTCATCAGTCATTGCATCATCCAAGTTATGGAGCTCTGTTGTGTTGAAACAGAAGAAGCAGAGCAACAACAAAGTCAGAGGCTTTAGAGTTCTTGCTCTCCAATCTGATAACAGTACTGTCAATAGAGTTGAGACTCTTCTCAATTTAGACACCAAACCATACACTGACAGGATCATTGCTGAGTACATTTGGTATATCGATATTATCCGCTCTGCTTACACTTACATTTCCGGTATTCCTGCGAATTTTTCGTAACCTTTTCTTTTTATTTGGATAGGATTGGAGGATCTGGAATTGATCTTAGAAGCAAGTCAAGGGTATGAATGATACTCTAGATTCTATAGTAAAATTTTTTTGTCAGGAATTATGATACTAATGAAGGTTATGGATGGTTTCAGACTATCGAAAAGCCGGTGGAGGATCCTTCTGAGCTTCCTAAGTGGAACTATGATGGTTCGAGTACCGGTCAGGCACCTGGTGAAGATAGTGAAGTGATTCTATAGTAAGATTTTTTTGTCACATTTAATCTCATTCTCTCTTTTATTTCACAATCTCATATTTCGTGTATACCGTTGTTGTTGTATTCAGCCCGCAAGCTATCTTCAGAGATCCTTTCCGTGGGGGCAATAACATCTTGGTATGTGTCATTAATTGAGTTTGATAGTAGTATAAGCAACATTTTCATTATGACATACTAATTATTGAGATTTGTTATGTGAAGGTTATCTGTGATACTTGGACACCAGCTGGTGAGCCAATTCCAACAAACAAGCGTGCTAAAGCTGCTGAGATCTTCAGTAACAAGAAGGTCACTAACGAGGTTCCATGGTTCGTCACTACCCCAAAATCTCATTGTAATCACATTTACTTACAATTTGGTGCTTAAGTTTGAATACTTGATCATGGTTTTAGGTTTGGCATTGAACAAGAGTACACTTTACTTCAGCAAAACGTCAAATGGCCGTTGGGTTGGCCCGTTGGAGCATTCCCTGGTCCTCAGGTGATAAATCAAGTCAAGCAAGAAAATATGTTTTGTGTTGGTTAACAAAAAAAAGTAACCAAACTCTGTTTTGTTGTCAGGGTCCTTACTACTGTGGAGTTGGAGCTGACAAGATTTGGGGGCGTGACATTTCAGATGCTCATTACAAAGCTTGTTTATATGCTGGAATTAACATTAGTGGTACTAATGGTGAAGTTATGCCTGGACAGGTCTGTTTTTCAATGGAGCTTTGTTAACAAATTCAGTTATTTGTATGTTTTTTACCAGTTGTCAATCCTCTGATGTTATTAAAACATTTGTGCAGTGGGAGTTCCAAGTTGGCCCTAGCGTAGGAATCGACGCTGGTGATCATGTTTGGTGTGCTAGATACCTTCTTGAGGTAATCCTAACTCATAACTGTTGTGAGTGAGTGAGGGAGATTTAAGCTCTCATAACTGTTGTTATATTTTTGCAGAGAATCACAGAACAAGCTGGAGTAGTCCTAACACTTGATCCCAAACCGATTGAGGGTGACTGGAACGGTGCTGGTTGCCACACCAATTACAGTACCAAGAGCATGAGAGAGGAAGGAGGATTTGAGGTGATCAAAAAGGCCATCTTGAACCTCTCGCTTCGCCACAAGGAGCACATCAGTGCCTACGGTGAAGGCAATGAGAGAAGGTTGACCGGAAAGCACGAGACAGCTAGTATCGACCAATTCTCATGGGTATGTATATGCTGTGGTAGTCTGAAAGATTTCACATATAAGTCCCTATTTTGTATCCCTCTGCTCATTTCCTTTAAAATTTTCAACTTGGCAGGGCGTGGCTAACCGTGGATGCTCTATTCGTGTGGGACGTGATACCGAGGCGAAAGGAAAAGGTACTGTTTCCGGAACGGTTACACACATGTTTTCTATGCTATATACATTGCTAACATGTATTGTTGTGAATTGGAATATAGGTTACTTGGAAGATCGCCGTCCAGCATCTAACATGGACCCATACATTGTGACCTCACTTTTGGCAGAGACCACACTCCTGTGGGAGCCAACTCTTGAGGCGGAAGCACTTGCAGCCCAAAAGCTTTCTTTGAATGTTTAAAATTAGTCGAAACTTTCATGAATCCGATGAACACACATGTCTATGTGGTCTCTCCGGGATCATAAGGTTGTTTAAAACATTTGTTTGGATTAAGACATTATTTGTTGTCTTTTCATTTGCATTGTTGAAACTAAGAACTCTGTATGGGCAATGTTCATCCTTTTATATTGGTTCTTTTGACTTTTATGGTCTTACCATAAGATATTGTTCTAGTCATCTTAGCCATATTTTAAAATAAACTTTTGCTTTTTTGTAAGTTAAGAGAAGAAGAAAGTATCTTAACATATATTTCCTCCAATGGTTAATAATAGAGGAGAGTATCTTAAGAAAAAAAATTCAAATTTTTGCAAAATACTATCTTCTTATACAAGCAACCATCAAACCAAACTCACACAAAGCATTAATACTCATTCAAACCAATGTAAAACTCATATTGATTATGTCCGTTTGCAAATATGAAGCTCATGCAACTGCAAAGTGCCAAGCATCATAACCAGAGCCACCATGCATCAAATTCCATAGAATCAGTAACTCCATAGTCCATGTCACTATCTCTTTTCACCTCAGCTCTTGCAAGTTCTCCAATGAACCTCGCCAAAACAGATAAACAAATCAAACTCAAGCCAAACATAGTTCTCCAATCGACCAAACTCATCAATCACAAGTTATCCATATGTATTCACCTAATCTAAATCATGAAACATACCAAATTCAACCAAAAAATTAATCAAAAAGGGATCAAAATCAAGGTTACAATGAATCAATCTACCATTGTTAATGGAGACACATCAAACCAACATCAAACAGAGAAAAATTAAACGGATCAAACCAACAGAGAACACCCAAAAAAAAACAGAGAAAAATCTCCATTTCTAAGGGAAACATAGACCACATCAAACGACATCTTAAACCCCTAATTTTGCAAACATCAATTCCCATTTATAAGAACCCTAATTTTGCTAACATCGAATCTCCAATTTCAGAAAACCCCAATTTCGACATCACATCAAATTACCCGAATTCAACAGGGAAAACAATCAAAAACAGAGAGATGCGTACCATGGGAAACAGATTGGAGCATCCAATAACCAAAATCTTCGATTTCGTGAAATCTCCGATATTCTGATCCCGATTTGGTGAACTAGAAATTGCCGATGGTCTCTATCTTCGGTTGAATGATGATGACGACACACGAATGATGATTTTTCAACTCATATCTCTTCTCAATTCATCGGATTAACCGGATTGAAGAGAGTTCGCAGATCGTTTGCATGTCGAGAAAGAGAGAGAGACACGAACTGGGAAGAAAAAAAAAATAACACAGCAACTTTTTTTCTTTTTGTTTTGTCTTTTCTCTTGTCCATTCAAATTGCAACATGTGTCCACTTCTTAACACTAAGAAAACATCTAAGCTAAGATGTAAATCTTAGCCTTTTAATCATTTTTTATTTAATTTTAAATGCCTAATCCTAAGATACAATGTTAAGATATGGTCTAAGATACACCATTGGAGATGCTCTATTTATCTCTCTTTTTTTTCTAACTAGTTCGCTATTTACTACCGTTATCTCTTTTCAATAAAATGATAAATAACGTAACTATTACTATTTTGTGTCACCAATCGGACTAATTATGGAGATAAATAAACGTTCTAAGATCATTTTGGTAAAATAAATTATCAAATTAGTTAGGCTTTTGTATTGTTTCGTTTTTTTTTTTTTGTTAAAGATTTTTTTTTTTTTTTTTTTTTTTTTTTTTTTTTTTTTAACCAGGTTGTCCGGGCCCCACCACAGGTGGTCCCGACTAGCACCGTATTGGGCATTGCCCTCAAGTGTGGTCCTGGTGGCCTTACATACCGGGTTCACGTTATCCCATCGCTAAGGGCGTGGCAGTGGCCAAATGAGGTATTGTTTCTTCATTCGGATGATCTCGTTTGAAGTTACATGAAAATGAAAAGAACATATAAAATCATGACTCGTTTGCACAACAGAGAGTGAAATTGTGATCAAAGGTAGTTTAATACGTTTCACATTCATTATCCATATCAATATATGGTCATAAACTAGAAGTCAATATTTCCAAACATTTTTATATATTCTCCAACTACTTGTAGGCTTGTAGCAGAAAATGTTGTATGAGCAACAACAATAATGTTTGGTTTTAAGATTTGTTAGCATGATTGGTAATTTATACAAGAAACTGTGGAAATGATCTGTGACATTCAAAATTCTATGGTTTTCTTTCTTGAAACTCAGTACTTCATTTCATGACAAGAAAGCATATTAATATTGTCGGCTTAAAAATCTTAAAATGTATGATTTTATAAAGAGATGTGAAAGTTCATCACAAAGCTTTGAAGTGCGATCGAACATATTATTGTGTATTTCCACATCTCTCTAAAAGCTAATAAGATATTCGGTAATATGTGTATATCTTACACATGATAATTGAACACACAAAATTCGGTATGATCAAATATTATTATTTCAATCTTTATTTTGTGTGTACGAATGTGAAAGAAGTTAAAAATTAGAAGAAAATCCTGACATTAGCTCAACATTAAGAAGATATATTGATTATACGAAGAGCAATATATAACTTAATTACATGACATTTAAGCTTTGGGCTAGGCTACGTGCGGTGGCTTAATGCATCGGTAAACCGTGCATGAGACGTTATTTATTTATTATAGTTCACTATTTGCATACTCTTACTCATAATATTCGGCTTTCAGTTGAGTACAGACCAGACGGTCGATTACTCTACCATCCTCCGCCTTTCCATCCTCCCCCTCGTCCGCCGCCTCCCCAACCTCCGCCTCGTCCGCCGCCTCCCCAACCTCCGCCGCCACGTCCGCCGCCTCCCCAACCTCCGCCGCCACGTCCGCCGCCTCCCCAACCTCCCCCACGTCCGCCGCCTCCCCAACCTCCGCCTCGTCCGCCGCCTCCCCAACCTCCGCCTCGTCCGCCGCCTCCTTTCCATCCTCCGCCGTAATTTTGTACATCATCATCTGACGCACTATCCATTTCTACGGTGTCTAACTCAGCACCGCCTCCACCCCATCCTCCCCCTTTGCCACCGCCTCCACCCCATCCTCCCCCTTTGCCACCGCCTCCCTTCCATCCTCCGCCTTGGCCACCGCCTCCCTTCCATCCTCCGCCTTGGCCACCGCCTCCCTTCCATCCTCCCCCTTTGCCACCGCCTCCCTTCCATCCTCCGCCATAATTTTGTACATCATCTGATGACGACTTATCTATTTCTACGCTGTCTAACTCAGCACCTCCTTTCCATCCCCCACCTCCTCGGCCACCACCTCCTTTCCATCCCCCACCTCCTCGGCCACCGCCTCCCTTCCATCCCCCACCTCCTCGGCCACCACCCCCCTTCCATCCCCCACCTCCTCGGCCACCGCCTCCTTTCCATCCTCCTCCTCCTTGATCAACTTCATAACTGTTTTCTTCCTCTTTCTCAACCGTAGCCTCAACGCCAACTTCTCCTTGATTGAGAGTATCCTTAGCGTCGTTTTTCCCTTCTACGGTTGGTATCTCTACTTGCTTTTCACCTGTTTCAATACCTCCACTAACATAAGAATTCTATCAAGCTTATAAAACATATAGAAATTATAAAGAATAGTAAACACCTTGTTTCTTGTCATCCACGGAAGTCTCTGCCGCGACAGCTACAACAACAGCCGCTAACAAAAGAAACCATACTATTAACGTTTTCGTATTCATTTTTACCACCATGCAATTGAGTTTACAAGTTTGCTCGTATGAAAAGATATGCTACTTCACTTAATTGTTATTTATAGTTGCACCGGTTTACGTAAGCAACAAGCTATTTATTGTATATACATGTCACAATCGATACATGCCAAGCGGTGGAGCTGTTGAGGATGGACATCACTATCAACACCTCATATTTAGTTAGCACGTGAAGATTTTGTCTTCGAGCTCTCTTCATGTCTCTGAAGCTAACACGTATGTTTTCAGACTGACACGTACGAGGTTCTTTAGAGGATGGTTTTGAACGTTGACAAATAGCTTCTCTTGAGTTACTTCAGGTTATTAGTGCCCTACCCTAGTTGCGTTTTGTAACCACGAACTAGTAAATTACGAGCTTTCCGCACTTGTTACTCTAGGGTTAAAACTTCAAAATGCTCTGATATTTACGGCTACATTAAACTCTATTACTCATGAATCTTGCGTTTGTGATATATGAACAAAACAAGAACTTGAATGAGAACATAAACAGAAAGTAAAGAACGGTTTTAGTTTTAACGAGTTCAATACTTCAATCTCCTGAATTTACTATATATATCAAGCTCGTTACAATTAAGTACCAAACAACCCTTAATATGCAAGTTCTTGTCATATCTCCGAGGTACAATTTGAAACATAATTATCTTTCAGAAAGCAAGTGACTTTGTACTGCTTATGAGGACACACAAGTCAGGTTCAAGTTTTGGGCTTTATTATTGGACCTTTAAGGTAAATATTAATTAGAGTCTTCTTGTGCATTTGGTTTCACAAAACTCGTAGTTTGAATTTGAGTTACCTTTATTATAGACTTTGGATTTCTGATTTACGTTAGCTATTTGAAACTTTAAGTAGGTCTAATGCATTATGGAGTATGATCATTGGTTACATATGGTTGTTCTGAGTTTTTGTTTGTGGATTCTAAAGTTTCGGATAGATACATATCTTGTGGGTTTAGATACAGTTCGTTGGAGAGACTTCTAATAAACTGATGCGAGTAAGAACACGCATATATAATATATTTAGAATACTTTTACAAATTAAATTTGTTTACATAGAGCAAGATCTAAACCTAACTTCTATAATATAAAAATAAATAATATATTTAGAGATTATACTAAATTTTTAATACTTACTAGATTTTAACCCACGGTACATCGCGGGCGAAATATATATTAAATCATATTATTATATTTTTTGATGTTATTTTTTAGGTTTTCTATGTGTTTTATTTATTACTATACGAAATATTTGTATTTAGTTTTGTTACCAAGTGTTAAATATTTTATTTACATATTTTTGCTAACGGTCCAAAAAGTACATTCGATAACCTCAAGAATAATGTGATGAGAGGTATATCTTTCTCGGGCGTTATAACAGGTGAAAGCTGAGTAAATAAGCGAAAGTGAAATTGATGATAGCTGAGTAAATAAGACGATTAGCTACAAGAATAATTCACCAACGAATTTTTCACAATTTGGGCCATAAAAGTGACGGCCCAAGGGTGGAATGAAACAAATATCCGGTGCAATATATGAGTTTTATTTAACCCGATCCAAGTGTTTTTTTTGAAAGAATTTTAAAAACGGGTCGGGTATCCGATATACCCGGAAGCATTTTTACCCACCCGTCACCAAAGTATTGCAAAAATACTAGATATATTGAAAAACTAAATTCCAGTAACAAATCAATTTTATACTTTTCTAATTAATGGACTTGAACAGTTTTCTGTAGGCATAATATCCACTTGAAAAGCTAATGGATGCATTAGGAGCCATAAACTATAAAGGATGGTTAACGCAAACAGGCGCAAGTACTTTTTCTATTGGACTTGAACGGTTTTGTATAGGTACAATATCCACCGGAAAAGCTAATGGAACCATTAGAATTATTCTATGTACTAGGAGTCATCTTATTATATACATTTGAGTTTTCAAAGTTGCTAACTAACTCACATTATATAAACAATGACCGTTGAAATTTAAACTGAAAATATTATTTTAATTGGACAAAAATTGTATTTATCATTATAACATAGTGTTTTTATTTGCTATATTAAAGCGCAATTTTTTAAAAAAAATAGTGAGTTTATAAGAATTAATTTGAATATAGTCCTTGATGAGAATATTACTATAGTTATACTTATGTATCTAAGAATTTAAATGCATGTAATATAAGTGAAAACACCAAAAATTTGGAAAAAGTTGGTTTATAGGAATGAATTTTTGATCCTTGATGAGAATATTAGTTTATTTTATTTATGTTTTATTTATGAATTTTAAATGAGACATGAGGTAAAATTAACTTATGAGATGACGCCATATAAAAAAGACTATATTTTAAAAAAATTTATTTTCAAAACAGTTTAATGGATTTTATTTTCAACAATTATATATTCTGTTATTTTTAGTTATTTTAAATAGTAACTAAGATATAGATTTGATATGATCTACATATTATTATGATATAAAGTTTTTAGCATTTATTCATTAAGATGAAGTCGGTAGAATTAACATCCAGTTTATTACAATGAAATAGATAGTCAAATTGTATTGCCAAATGGAATGTGTAAGATTGAAATTTGTTTTTAAAATTTTTACTAAATTATAGAAAAAGTGTATGGATTACTATTTAGAATTCAAATATCATCAATAATGGAGTGTGTAAAATTCAGTTTATTATATGATAAAGTAAATAGTTGAAGTATATAACATAATGGAATGTGTAAGATTAAAATTTCGTTTAAAACAAAATTTACTAAATTAAATATTAGAAAAAATTTGTGAACTACTATTTAGAATTCAAATATCATGGATAAAATTTACATTTATTTTTTAATTATCTAATAAATTATGAAGGACGGTTATAAAAAACAGCCACAAAGATGACCGAGTTCCTGGTGTAGCCGAGGTTAGCGAGGATGATAATTTCTCAGAACAATACAGCTGTTCGAAAGAAATAATTACAATAGCTAGCTGTCATGCTCTCGAACAGAATATCTGATTATGATCATGTTTTGATGCTTTTTTGCCTATGATTCTTGAAAGGAATCAATATATTCGGAAGAATGGTACAATAATAACAATGTAAAAGGTAAAACTTATTTTATTTGGTTTATTATTGTAACTAAAATTAGGCTGTTTTTGAAATCATATGTAACTTGATAATATGCAGTATTCAAGCATAGAACATGTTAGAATTATGCGCATAATATTGGGGAAAATTTTGCGGAAACTTCAAATCAAAGTATCCTCCAAAATGAATGATCTGGATGCGATAAAAAAATGCATCCTAATAGGCTTGTTGGTTTGGCCTAATTCCACTTGGAGATAAAAGGTTACTCTTCTACCTTTCCAATAACTTTAAGATCATTAGATTTGATGCAGGAAAATCTCTAAATGAACCCTAAATTTATGAAGTACGAAAATTGTCCTGCAGCTTGTTTTACTATATTTTATCTTTTTGGCTCTAAAATCCGTAAAGATTCTCAATACTACAAATACTCGAAAACTTACTAGAAAAATTAAAATAATTTAGAATGCTTGCTAAAAGAATATATAAATAATAGTGAAATTAGGTAAAAGTACGATCTTATAAACAAGTTTTTAAGAGATTCTTATTGAAATTGAACCGGAAAAAAATGACATTTAACAACCAACTTAGTTAACAAGGCCATCAAGTCCTATATTAAGAGTTGATGTCAAGAGATAAACATCATTACAATTTACAACCATAATCACATAAAAAAGGTGGAGACGCTCATGGTAAACGCTTCACTTGGGTCGTTTTCTTTGTTTTTTTTTACGTATTTGATATAATTTGTTGTTCTCATTGTTTTTTGTTATCTTGTTGTGAAAATTTGGTGATAAGGTTTGGTTGGAAATTAATTTTTTAATACCTAGGTAGTAAATCGTTTAAGGATTTGGTAAAAAATATATATTGTTGGGCAACATCTCATCTAATAGAAGTCCATGTTCATTATGAAGTTTAGCTCATCTTAGTCCCTCTGTGGAAATTATAAAACTCAATTCGTCATAAATAAGCCGAATATTGCAAGTTTGAAATCTGAGTATGATGGTTGTCGAAGATAGGATGATAGTGCGAAAAGATTAAAACAAGTAACACGTAGTTACAAAAGATCTAGACATGTACCTCGAACTAATGGACTTATATATAAATAGAGGAGACATGAATGGGGATAACATTTTTATCCAAAAATAAACAACATTAATCTCAAGTTCAACAATTCTCTTTTTTTTTTTCCGTCTTAGTTCTTCCTTCAATTGTACTGATTTACATCTATTTCAATAAAACAATTCCTCATTAATCTCAATTAGAATTTTTGTTCTCATTTTATCATCGTAATAACTAATCTAAACCTAAAAAATTTCTGAGATTTCCACAACAGTCCAAAAGCAATCCAACAAAATTAGTTGGTTCCTACAATATCATTACCTTTTCTAGTCACAAAACAGAGTAAACCGTACCAAAAAAAACTTTTCCGTTGCCAATGAAAAAAAGAAAAAGCAAAGCTATTAGGAAAGTGAATTGAGTGAAATTGCCGTTTGCATAAGAAAAGAACCAATCCAATGATCTCCATGTGCAAACCAAAGCATCTCTCTATACTCTTTAAAGTAATCCAAAGTCGAGACCACAAAAACTCACGATTTCACTCAAATATTATATAAACAATTTCTCTCATTTACAGATGCTTTTCTTCTGGATCACAATCATCACTAATTGCACTATACGCTATGTTTCAGCTTTTCTTCTTTCTTTTTCTTCTAATACATATCCTTTGAATCTCTTTTTACATGTACTCTTGTACATGACTCATGTGCTTGTGATTCTAAAATAATGCACCTTTCTTTTTCTTTTTCTTTCATAGCTTTTATATAGTAATCAATCTCATCACATGTGTGTTTGTTCCCATTTCTCAATTCCCAAGTTCTTTCTGAAACATAGAGAGAAGCAAGCAATATGGGTGTTACAGGAGGATTAGTCAGAAGCATTTTCTTCAGAAACAAATCATTTGGAGCTCATGACTACAACAATGTATGTCGTCATTTTCATTAAAGACCCATCATCATTCCGTTTTTTTTTGTTTTAACTACTACTTCACATGTTGTAATGTTTTCAGGGAAGAAGCAATCTTGGAGAGAAGAAACGATGGAGCTCGGTTAGATCGTACCTTTGCGGAGATGAATTCAACTCTGTTCTCGCTGTGGATGATTCAGGATCGGTCAAGGATTCTGATGCTCTGTTTACAATGTCTCAGCATCTGAGTTCAGAGTTGAGTGTACCTTTTGGTTCGGTTATCGCAATTGAAGATTCAGCTTCTGCGAAGCGTTTGGAGGATGAGGACTCTGTTTCCGTTAAGAGCTCTGAGGCAACAGTGACTCAACCTTTACTGGAGGAGAAATCAAAAGTACTGGATTGTTACGTAAAAGAAGATGATGTTGATAACCAAAGCGAAGCAACAGAGACACACATACCCAAGAGGCATCAGACAACTCCAATAGGCAAGCTGTTCCTCGAAGAAGATGCTGCAGTCATAATTCAGTCAGCATTCAGGAGTTACCTGGTTGGTTTTTCCCTTCATTCTGTAATTTTGTCTTCTTCTTTTATGTCCACTCTAATGGTTCTTATGATGTGTTGTGTTCAGGCAATACGTCGGAGCAAAGAAGAAGAGGAAACATTTGCTAAGGAGGAGAGCTTCTCAGGAGAGGAATCTCAAGGCAATGCATCCATGGGGACGTCACTAGAAGCTCAGACAAGTAATTCCGTGAAAGCACCGTTTTTCAAGAGAAAACGAGTATCTGCAAATCGAAGATCACTACAGATGGGTAACACTCAAGTTCTGAGGATAAAGGTAAGCAAACATACGATGCAGTAACGGGGAATTTAAAGATATATAGAAGAATAACATAACATACTCATGTAACAGGAAGACTGGGATGATAGCACAGTGAGCAGCACCATATCAAAGTCGAGGATTCAAAGCAGAATCGAAGCAATGACAAAACGGGAGAGAGCACTTGCTTATGCATTTTCACAGCAGGTAAAACAATTTGAGAAAACTTGATTTCTGATTGTATCCTAAAAGATCCAAAGAACTTCTCTTTTCTAAACTGTGAAACATTTGTTTTACAGCTAAGAATTTGCTCAAAGAAGAAGCAAATGGATCGTAGCAGTGAGGACGATTCTAACATTGGTTGGAGTTGGCTAGAACGCTGGATGGCAACCCGTGTACCAGACAGCATTCCAATTGAACCGAGAACAAACATTCAGACAGATGTTGCAACGAAAAATCAAAGATTGATAAGAAAGAATAGATCATTTGGTATAGCTGGCGAGTTGGAGAGCTGTGCTTCCAACGATTTACCTCTCCAGTTTGAAAGCATATCAGAGACACAAGAAGATGAAACTAAAGCTTTGCAGACCGAAAAGAGCAGTCTAAGAGCGAGCATATCAAAGCGTAAAACTGTTCCAAGCTACAAAAGCCAGAGAAGGCATAACAGGGTAAGCAAAAAAACTACACAATGCACAGAAGTTTCTAATTCCCATCCATCTCAAACATACTCGCTAACCATTACTTGTTTTGCAGCTTCAGGTAACCAAAAGTGATCTGCAACAACAGACAAAGAAAGCTAAGAAGGCCCAGACCACACCCTCAAGCTGCAAAACAGGAAACGAATGCGAAGAAACCTCACAGAAGCTAAGTAGCAGCAAATAATCATTACCTGTAAATCTTTGCATTTAAATAACCTGTATTTCACAAAAGTTTGTTCTTTCGAATCGAATAACAACATTCTGTAAATTATTTGGAGAATCAACCAGTAGTAAGGGATAAGAAACTGGAAACCCCAGAAATACATAACAATTGCAGAGTATTTTAAGAGTAATGTAAACATCAAATCTTCTGTTTCTAAGAAGATATGTGTCTCAAATTTGATAATACAAGCTGGAACTAGGCCAACCAAACAAACTTAGATCCTATCAATATCCTCGTCCTCAAACTCAATGTAATCATCACCCGCATTCTCTTCATCTTCATCAAGATCACCAACAATACCTTCATTAAGACGAGTATTCTCGGGAAGCTCGCCATACGCCTTGAGAAGTCTAGCCTCATCAGACATATACTTGAGGATAACATCAGCTTTGTCATCCTGGTAATCCCTCAGACCAACAAGTATGATGTCACCAGCAGCAATCCAAACCTTCTTATGCATCTTACCACGGATATGGCAAAGACGTTTAACACCATCAATGCACATAACGTCACAACGGCCATTACCGAGCATACGAAGAACTTGTGCATACTCTTGCCCATCTTCTTTAAAAATAAGCTCACGCTTCTCGTCATCAGCTTCGTTCTTTCCTCTCTTCCTGTTCTTTCCTCCCTTTCCTTTGTTCTTCGGCATCGTCTCTGTATTAAATTTGATTCGTTAATAATCGAAACTACGCGGTCTTCGCATAACAAGGTAAAGAAATCAAAGGGATACAGAATCAGAATATGTTCTAATAATGGCGTGAATGTTAAAAAAGTTTGACGAATAGATTCGTTTTCAAATTCAGACAAAAATTGGCAAATTCGAACAGATAAGAATCAAAATCAGATAAATCAAAACAATTCCGGTGACGAGATCAATCAGATCAAAACATAATTAGCTAATTTCAATCACTGGAAACCCTAATTTTAGAGTTGAATTGAAAAATCAGGGGGCGGCGTAAAGGAAACCCTAATTGAGAAACAAAGGGAACGCAGAGATTACCAGTATGGATTGATCAAGTAGTTGAAAGTAATCAAACGACGATCTTTGTAGAGAATCGGTTTTTTTCTTGAGGAAGGTTTCGTAGCTGCGTGGTGTTGCTCTACTTTTTCTCGATGTCACAGAGACAGACGTCTTTTTTAATTTAAATAGTATAGCTAATTGCAAAACACCCTCGAAATTAGGTTTTATTACCAAGTCATGCCATTCCCATTTCCTAATAGGACTTTGGGTTTAATTTTTTTTGGATTATATGATGTCTTTGGGTCTTCTGGTTAACTATTTCTTCTCCTTTGAGTGGAGACCAAGGCTAGTTTGCCACTGAACCGGAAATTGTAATCCTGCCTGCCATTTTAGAGTCTCAATGCCACTCATAGAGTGGATTATACCTTTATACCCTTAATGAATTATTTGGAGAAATTGAATTAATTTTAAAACAAAAAACTAAGAAAATGTTTGGACCAAAATCGAGATTGAAATCGAGCTGAGAGAAGAGAGATTTCGAAGTCTCTCCAATCGAGTTCTCTGTCTTCATTTCTCCGCCGACGACAAACAGAAGATTCCCCGGAGCTGCTGAGGTCGATTCTTTGTCCGACATTAGCTCTGGCGCCGGTTTTGGAGCTTCATTGTTGGATCGAGTTTGAGAGCTCGTCATTTGTTTCGTCTACTCCCGCTCCTCCTCTTAGCCTCGCCGTCGACTCATCCATTTCGACGGAACTCCGTCGCAGGACCTTCTTTCTTCTCCTCCATTGTTGGATCTTGATTGAACCAAGTAAGTGCTTTGAAATTTGTTTGTTTAGGTATTTGCAATGGTAGAGTTTGGCAATGGTAAGTGTAGAAATCTCTAGATAGTAGGATTTATGAGTTGAATCGTGTTGAATCCGAGGGAAATTAGAATGTAGCTCCTCCTTTGTATCGTTAGTTGCAGAAGGTCATGGTACAACTGAAATTGAATAATACAACTGGTACATATATGATAGTGTAGTTCGACTGGTACAATTGGTATAACTGTTACAAGTGCTGTATCGAAATTAGTGATTTATTTTGTTCTATCTGCAGTGCGATGAAGAAGAAGATCCACACAAACATATATTTTGACTATGGAGGGTACTATTCAGAAGAGCATGAGTGGAATTGCAACAATTCAGTATATGCTATAATGTTTAAGACAACATCTTTGGAGAGAATAACATATCCGGTGTTGGTAGATAAGATCTGTAAGAAGATTGCTATAGACGGAGCGAGAAGGAAGATGAAATTGAGTTACATGATATGTAAAGGAAGGAGAGAGTCTTATATTTTAGATGATGAGGATGTTTGTATATTCTTAACATCATTGGATAAAGAGGGATTTAGACCAGTTTTGCATGTGGAGTTATGCAATCTTGAAAGTAATCAGATGGTGGAGCTAGTACCAAGAGTAGAGAGAAGAAGTTCATGCGGTTTGAATTATGGGGAAGTGGCTGCCAATGATGTAAGGACTGATGATGTAAGGACTGATGATGTAAATAATCAAGCAAACTTGAGTGCGTTTAGATGGGGGGAAGGATCAGAACAAGAGAAAGAGCCTGCTATAGTTAATGAACCGATTATTGAACAGCTCATGATAGAGAATGGTGTAAATGAAGATTGTGAGAATGATGTTAGGCCTGAATATGTTGAGCTTTCGCGGACTGTACAACCAAGTGAGGAAACAGTTAAAGAATGGAAAGATGGTTTGGAATTGGAAAAAGATCAAGAATTTCCTTCTAAGGAGGCAGTATGGGATTTGGTTAATAGAGCTGCAAAGGCCGAGTTGTTTGGTGTGAGATGTGTGAAGTCGGACCCGGTGCGACTTATGATTGAATGCAGTCAAGCTTCCATTGGTTGTGAATGGTATTTAAGAGTTGCTAGAATAAAGAAATCTGATTTTTGGAGTGTAAGAGTTCACAAAAACATGCATACATGCTCTAGGTGTGAGGAGAGTACTAGATATTTTAAACAAAAAGGCACACCACGATTAGTAGCAAGTGTTTTGCATGAGGACTTCCGTGGTCAATTGAAAACACCGGATCCTAAAACCATCATGACTCTTGTTAAAGGAAGACTTGGTTTGGATTGTTCCTACTCCACCGCCTTGAGAGGGAAAAAACAACATGTTAGTGATATGCGTGGGAACCCTGAAGTTTGCTACACGATGTTGTATGCTTATCTCCACATGTTGAGAGAGGTGAATCCTGGGACAGTAACGGAAGTGGAATTGGATGCAGAAGATAGGTTCAAGTACTTATTTATCGCTTTAGGAGCAAGCATTGAAGGGTTTAAGGCAATGAGGAAAGTGTTAGTGATTGATGCAACTTTTCTGAAAACTGTATATGGTGGGATGTTAGTTATTGCAACAGCTCAGGATCCTAATCGTCACCATTATCCCATTGCGTTTGGTGTAATTGATAGTGAGAATCATGCTAGTTGGAATTGGTTTTTTAGAATGTTGAGAAAGGTAGTACCGGATGAAGATGGTTTGGTTTTCATAAGCGACAGACATCAAAGCATCATCAAGGGAGTGATGGATGTGTTTCCAAACGCATCACATGGTCATTGTATATGGCATTTGTCCCAAAACCTTAGGCCAAAGTTGACTGGGGACAAGGACTTAGGTGTTGAGAAATTCAAGGAATGCGCTCATATATATACTAAGACCGAGTTCAGCATTCAGTATGGTGATTTTAGGAGAAGGTATCCTAGAGCTGCTGAATATCTGGATAATTCTATTGGGGTTGAACAATGGGCTAGGAGTCATGCTGAGAGAGACAAGTACAACATAGATACTAGCAACTCCGCAGAGTCAATGAATGCTGTGTTTAAGGAAGTAAGGAAGTACCATCTATTACCGATGATTGATGCGATATTGGAGAAGTTTTCCGAATGGTTCAACAAACATCGAAAAGATTCTGCCAATGCATCGAACACAACGCAGGTGGTGCCTGTTGTGGAGAATATATTACATATCCGATGTCCTATAGCTGCGAAGTTGACGGTCACTGAGCTTAACAGCTACCGACGCGAATATAGCGTAATTGGAGTTGATGGTTTAACATATTTGGTGGACTTGGATATGAAATCTTGTACTTGTAGGTGTTTTGATATAGACAAGTACCCTTGCATCCATGGTATAGCCGCATCCATTAAGCATTGTCGGAATGAATGGAGAACAACGGAAGTAAGCATATATGGTCTTTGTTCGAAATATTACTTGATCGAGACGTGGGCATTGGCATATTACAAAACGATTTACGTTGTGCCGCATGAGTCTCAATGGACTTTCCCAGCTGACTACGAGGAGAAGATCGCAAAACCGCCGGATTACAAACCAAAGAAAGGTAGAAATCAAGAGACCCGGTTTCCATCCACCGGGGAAAAGCGACGAAAGAGGACCCAAAACAAGGCACGGCCTGGCATTAACTTGGAGAGTTGGTTGCAGCCCCCTCCCAATGATGAGAATGGTTAACTTGAGTTTCTGTGTTTTACTTGTATTTCTCGCATGTGCATTAACAATTCAGCTGGTTCAACTGGGTTCAGCTAAGAACATGTCTGTGTCTCGTTTGTGCATTAACAATTCAGCTAGTTCAACTGAGTTCAGCTAAGAACATGTCTGTTTGTTTTAAGTTGTATTTGTATTCGTTTATATACTGAGTTCAGCTATTACAAGTAAGTCCAATATGTTCCATAAGTTTTGCATTAACTATTCAACTGGTTCAACTTGTACAACTTGTACAGCTACGATAGTATTATAAAACAACATTTTTTATAAAAAAAATGTAATAAAAGAATAATTCTATAATATAATCATAATAGAATTAACTTTTATAGAAAATTTTAACATTCGAATACAACTTTTAAAAAAATCTATGTAAAATGATGTTCTCACACAAACAACCCCTTCTAGTATAAGGGATACTTACTATAAGATAACCTAAATCATAGTGAAAGACGTGAAAACAATGATTTGGTAAATATAATATTATGTCACCCTTGGATATGCCAAATAATTCAGAATAATCATTTGTCCAACTTATAATTAATTATTTAAATACTAGTCCAACTGAAAACAAGAAAAAGTGTTAAAAGTCCAACTATGTTGCTCCTAGTACAACTGGACAACTATGAGTATATTCAGCCATCATGGGTCCCACATATTTAATACTATTAAACAAGTACAGCCGCCAAACTCAATTTATTTTAAAAAGTATTTTTGTTTTTAGATATTCTTTTAAAAGGAAAAGGAAGATAGATCGATAGATCTAGGGTTTTATTATAAGCTCTGTCTCTCTCTCTTACCTAGTTTCTCTCTCTCTCATTTGCGAAACCCAGAAAAGTAGAGAAGTAAAATTCCGGCGAGCGAGAGCGGAGATCCCGACGGCGAGAGCAGAGATTTCGGCGAACGACTCCTATCTAACAAGGTTGGTGCTTTCTAATTCCTAGATCTAGGGTTTGGGTTTGTCGATTCAGATTTGGATCTAGGGTTTTCTTATTTGGGGTTCTCCGTTTTTGATTGGGTTTGGGTTTGTAGATTAGGATTTGGATCTAGGGTTTTCTTATTTGGGGTTCTCCGTTTTTGATTTGTATATCCTAGATTCGGATTTGGATCTAGGGTTTTCTTATTTGGGGTTCTCCGTTTTTGATTGGGTTTGGGTTTGTAGATTAGGATTTGGATCTAGGGTTTTGATATGAACCTCAAGAGATTGAGATTACGTCTCGGCCAAGAAAGGAGTCCGTAAAAGGCTGAAAGCTCTCTCTACGAACAGGGAAATCGATGGAGTGGTGGTTTGTCTCGTCAAAGGCTGAAAGCTCTCTCAACGGGACCGGCGATCTGATGGAGTGAAGGCGGAGCGAGGTTGTACCACACGGCTGAGGTGAATCTCCGTGATAAAACAACAGAAACTCTTGCTTTTGGAGGCGGCGGCTCGACAAGAACAAGAGGGAGGCGATTCTCTTTGAAGAAAATGCTAGGTCTTTATTTCATCAAGCGTAAAAAATACATAGGGTTTTTGTGGTGCTTTTATAAGCTCTCCACGGCCACATCAGCCTCTTACAAATCACAAAAGAAATACAAAAAAGGAAACGAAGAAAATAACCAAAATACAATAATTGTTTGTAAATAAAAGAAAGTTCTCCTAAACCAGAAATAAGAAGAAACACGCATGAACAAACTGTTAGAAATAAAATAAATGGATTGAAACACTTACTTGGCTTAAGAGCTCGTGATAGTGGTGACGGTACAACCGGCTTGAGCTATGATCATAGGCCATGGTCCATGGAATGACGAGAACAAATGGTCTTGATGGTCTCTTGCTTCAGCTTCCTCAACCAATACGAGTAGCTTGTCTTGTCCTTCTTCTATCTTGTTCGGGAAGTCATTCTTGGTGTCGAGCTCTGGATATTCGAAGTCGCTGGCTGCATGATACGTAACGTCAAGTAGCTTCTCGACAAAGGCATTAAACTTGTTGTGGAGGAAACGAGTTCTTGATCGGGTCATTGGCAGGTTTGGTATGAACGGTACATTGGCTGGTTCATGAGCTGTTGGTTTGGTGGTTGGAGCTTGGTCGATGTCCTCATCATTCTCTCCCTCTTGAGAAGGTTTTGACCCCAAAATTTGTGTGTCTCCTAGCTTCTTCCAAAGTGTTTTCCAAAAATGCCCGAGGAACTTGGTATCACGGTCGGAGACTATGGTTCTTGGCAGCCCGTGGAGGCGAACTATTTCTTTGAAGAATAGGTTGGCGGTTTGCGTCGCATCATTTGTTTTGGCACAAGGTATGAAATGGGCCATCTTGGAGAACCGGTCGACGACAACGAAGATGGAGTCTTTGTGTTGAATGAGAGGTAACCCTAACACGAAATCCATGGAGATGTCCACCCATGGTGTAGTAGGAATGGGTAACGGCATATACAACCCGTGTGGATGAGCTCGAGACTTGGCCTGCTTGCATGTCACGCATTTTGAACACAATTGTTCCACTGATTTCTTCAAGTGTGGCCAGTAAAAATGTTCCTTGACGATGGCTAATGTTTTGTCGATCCCAAAGTGTCCCATTAGACCACCTCCATGAGCTTCTCTGACTATGAGCTCTCGTAGTGAACATTGTGGAATACATAACCGTTTTGCGCGAAATAGAAATCCTTGTTGCTTGTAGAACAACCCCACGCTTCCCTTTTCGCAGCCTTTGTAGTAGTCCCCTAACTCAGAATCAGTTTCATAAAGGTCTTTAATGTACTCAAAACCCAATACCTTTACGTCCATGGTAGAGATGAGTGCGTGTCTCCGTGAAAGTGCATCCGCGACGACATTCTCCTTACCCTTCTTGTACTTAATGATGTAAGGAAAGGTTTCGATGAATTCTAACCATTTAGCGTGCCTCCGTTTAAGATTAGTCTGCCCTCGGAGGTGTTGTAGTGTCTCGTGGTCGGTATGGATTACACATTCCCGAGATAGCAAGTAATGTTGCCATGTCTCCATAGCTCGGACCAAGGCATATAGTTCCTTGTCGTATGTCGGGTAGTTTAAAGATGCTCCACTTAGTTTTTCACTGAAGAAAGCGACGGGTTTGCCTCCTTGGGTGAGCACGGCCCCAATGCCTATTCCCGAAGCATCACATTCAACTTCGAATGTCTTGTTGAAGTCGGGTAAAGCGAGAACTGGCGCTTTGGTGAGACTGTTCTTCAGGTTTTTGAATGCATGCTCTTGTGCCTCTCCCCATGTGAATGGAACTGTCTTTTTGATGACTGCCGTGAGGGGAGCCGCTATTGAACTGAAATCTTTGACGAACCGACGATAAAAACTAGCTAAGCCGTGGAAACTCCTCACTTGGCTGATATTCGTAGGCATAGGCCAGTCTTGTATGGCTTTGATCTTCTCTTCATCCACCTGTAATCCCTGTTTACTGACAATAAAACCTAAAAACACAAGACGATCAGTGCAAAAGACGCACTTCTTGAGGTTTGCGTAGAGGCTTTCCTTGCGGAGAGTCTTTAATACAAGCTCAAGATGTGCAATGTGGTCCGAGAGGCAGTTACTATAGATAAGAATATCGTCAAAATAAACTACGACAAACTTACTGATGTAGGACCGCAAGACATGGTTCATGAGTCGCATGAACGTACTTGGAGCGTTAGAGAGACCGAAAGGCATTACAAGCCACTCATATAGGCCTTGCTTGGTTTTAAAGGCGGTCTTCCACTCGTCCCCTTCTCTCATTCGCACTTGATGATAGCCGCTTTTGAGATCAATCTTGGAGAACACGGTAGCTCCACTTAACTCATCTAACATATCATCTAGACGTGGAATAGGATGTCGGTATTTCACTGTGATGTTGTTGATAGCCCTACAATCGACACACATTCGCCAAGTACCGTCTTTTTTTGGGACTAGAAGGACCGGGACGGCGCATGGGCTCAAGCTTTCTCTCACATACCCTTTTGTCATGAGCTCTTGAACTTGCGTTTCTAGTTCCTTTGCTTCGTCGGGGTTCATTCGATAGGGAGCTCGGTTGGGTAATGATGCTCCTGGAACGAAGTCTATTTGATGTTCGATACCACGTATAGGTGGTAATCCCTCTGGAATTTCCTCGGGAAAGACATCTTGATGTTGTTCCAATAGACGACGTATTTCTGGTGGTAGTTCTAGCTCCTTAAAATCTGCACTTAACACTTCTTTAAAGATCATTAGTAGAACCGGTTCCTTGGAGTACAAGGTTCGCCGGATGTCACCAGAATTAATTAAAAAATTCGACTTGATAGAACTTGTTTCTTTGGAATTTTTGACCTGTAATTCGTGCACTTGGGATGGAGAAAGAGGGGCTAGTTGATACCTCTTATTGTTTTGCATTACCGTGTATAAATTTGTGCGGCCGTTGTGAGTGGTTTCACGGTCAAACTGCCATGGCCTTCCGAGAAGTAAATGGCTGGCTTGCATTGGGACTACATCACAAGTCACCTCATCATGGTAACGTCCAACGCTAAAGGCAACGTGGACTTGATCAGAAATCTTCATCTCAGATTTGTCGTTGAGCCATCTTAATTTGTATGGTCGCGGGTGCTTGATTCGTTCCAAACCTAACTTGTTAACCATATACTCACTAGCAACGTTAGTACACGATCCACCATCGATAATTAAACTGCATACCTTGCCATTAACAGAACAACGCGTATGGAAAATGTTTTCTCGTTGGGCTGTCTCTTCCGGTTCAACAATTGCACTTAACACCCTTCGTATGACAAGGATCTCGCCTACTTCCGGGTATTCAACCTCATCGTCGTGGCTGTGGTGATCATCCTCGCCTTGGGATTCGTATTCACCAGCTTCCGTGACAATCATAATGCGTTGGTTAGGGCAATCTCGTTGCATATGACCTCTTCCTTTGCATTTGAAACACGTGATGTCTCTAGCTCTTTGGTTGTTGGCGTTGTTTGAAGTCTCTCTTTTACCCTCTCGAGTCGTATCTGGTGCCTTAGGCTTAGACCGTGAGTCTATATCAATAGCCTTGCCTTTATCGAATTGCTTGTTGTCGGTTGAGTTCCAATTGTTTGGTGGTCGGGTGCGTGTGTAGGCAGTTTTGCGTTTGATATGCTGCTCGGCTTGGACGGCTAGGTGTAGTAAATCTTGCATGTCATGATAAACTTGTCTCTCGACCTTTCGACTGATTCGATCTTGTAACCCGTCTACAAAGTGAGCCATAAGCGTTGCTTCTTCTTCGTCGGTGTCCAAACGGTTCCTTATATGCTCAAACTCCTCATAGTATTCTTCTACCGATTTGTTACCTTGCGTTAGCTTCCGGAAACGCTTCTGGAGATCTCGTTGATAATAAGGAGGAACAAATCGTCTACGCATTAATTCCTTCATATCGACCCATGAATCAAGTTGGCGTTGACGGTTCTTCCTTCTTTCGATAACTTCTCTGTCCCACCACGCTAAAGCTTTGTCAGTGAGTTGTGCCACAGCAATAGCAATCTTCTTTGGACCAGTATAAGTGTAAACTTCAAAGATGTGATCCATTCTCTTTTCCCAATCAATATAAGCTTCTGGATCAACTTTTCCTGCATAGAGTGGTGGCTTAAGCTTCAGCTCATGGTTTGTGTTTCGGGCTGGTGGTTCGTCGCCATCGGCATTAGCTTGTCTTGGATTCCTTCTCCGCTGGTTCTCTCCACCTCTATCTCTCCGGTTATTGTCAATACGACCCGGATCGCTGTCATCATCGGAGTAATGTCCCCTGTTTTGCCTCCGTCTATTGCCTCGATTCCGTCCTCTTCGATTCTGTACCATGTTGTCTGGATCGTCACTGCTAGAGGCAGATTCCTGTTGGTCATTCCGAGCATTGGCATTGGCAGCCTCGCCACGTTCCGGAGGAACTTGACCCAATCCCAGACCGTTGTTTAACACCGGCATTGGCTGATTTCGTTGTTCAACACGTTCAAGTCGTTGACCAAAGACTGTGAAGTCAGCTTGGATCTTCCTCAAAATCTCCATCATTGATTGATCATTTGCAGCTTCGTTTCCCATTGTTGAGAAGTTCCTTGAAAGAAGACAAATAACAACGTATCAATGGAAACGTATGAGTAACAGATGCTAAAGACAAATAAAATAAAATTGACAACGTGTTTGTGTTTTTGTTTTGTTTTTTTTGTTTTTTTTTTTTTTTGTTTTTTTTTTTGACGAAGGAAAACAGATGCTAAATTAAAAGAGTTCTAATCGATATTAATCAATAGAACTAAGATTGTGAGAAAAAAAAAAATTGATGAAACGATGAACAAATGCAAGAAATCTCGTTTTTTTTTTTTTTTTTATAAGAAAATTAAACGAAACAAATACTAAGTGATACGAAGAAGTATATAAAGGATTGACACAACCTGGTCGAAATAATCTTGGCCTTCAAAACCTAAGCTCTGAATACCAACTGATATGAACCTCAAGAGATTGAGATTACGTCTCGGCCAAGAAAGGAGTCCGTAAAAGGCTGAAAGCTCTCTCTACGAACAGGGAAATCGATGGAGTGGTGGTTTGTCTCGTCAAAGGCTGAAAGCTCTCTCAACGGGACCGGCGATCTGATGGAGTGAAGGCGGAGCGAGGTTGTACCACACGGCTGAGGTGAATCTCCGTGATAAAACAACAGAAACTCTTGCTTTTGGAGGCGGCGGCTCGACAAGAACAAGAGGGAGGCGATTCTCTTTGAAGAAAATGCTAGGTCTTTATTTCATCAAGCGTAAAAAATACATAGGGTTTTTGTGGTGCTTTTATAAGCTCTCCACGGCCACATCAGCCTCTTACAAATCACAAAAGAAATACAAAAAAGGAAACGAAGAAAATAACCAAAATACAATAATTGTTTGTAAATAAAAGAAAGTTCTCCTAAACCAGAAATAAGAAGAAACACGCATGAACAAACTGTTAGAAATAAAATAAATGGATTGAAACACTTACTTGGCTTAAGAGCTCGTGATAGTGGTGACGGTACAACCGGCTTGAGCTATGATCATAGGCCATGGTCCATGGAATGACGAGAACAAATGGTCTTGATGGTCTCTTGCTTCAGCTTCCTCAACCAATACGAGTAGCTTGTCTTGTCCTTCTTCTATCTTGTTCGGGAAGTCATTCTTGGTGTCGAGCTCTGGATATTCGAAGTCGCTGGCTGCATGATACGTAACGTCAAGTAGCTTCTCGACAAAGGCATTAAACTTGTTGTGGAGGAAACGAGTTCTTGATCGGGTCATTGGCAGGTTTGGTATGAACGGTACATTGGCTGGTTCATGAGCTGTTGGTTTGGTGGTTGGAGCTTGGTCGATGTCCTCATCAGGTTTTCTTATTTGGGGTTCTCCGTTTTTGATTTGTATATCCTAGATTCGGATTTGGATCTAGGGTTTTTAAATTTCTGATTATTCTTGAGGAGTTGCAGTGAGAATGCCAATCAGTTATACTCAAAGCTCCGAATCGGAGCCGAGTGAGGATATGAGTTGGGCAAGAGCTGACGGTAATTGGGGTATTCCTAGATATTGTTTCTGTGGAACCTACGTTAAGCTTGTTGTGTGTACCACTGGCAATAATCAAGGAAGAAAGGAATACAAATGTCCGAATTATGAGGTATGATGAATTGTTTGTAATTTCTGTTGATGATGAATTCGTTTTTCTTATGATTGATGATTGATGCTTATGCTTAGGATGGTGGAGAACACCTCCAGAAGTGGTGGGATGATGCGGTTAATGAGGAGTTTAGTGTTGTGCGTAACAAATTTGAAACCCAGAAAGAATCAATCCACCACGCTTACCAAAATCCAATGTTGGAGTCACTTCGCGAGTCTGTTCGAATTATGCGTGCTCAACTCGATGATCTTGAGAAGCGTTTGGAGGAGAAAGAAACCCAGATTAGCAAGCTGAGGGATTTGCTAGCTAAGTGGTAGTTGGTTGTGGTTGTTGTACTTAAGAAACCGAGTTTGTTGTATTCCTTATGTAAAACATAATTGCTAGTTTAACAATGTTTAACAATGCTAGTTAAGTGGTAGACCAAGTTTTATTTGACAATGTTTAACAAATATTTGACCTTGTTTTCTTTCCAAAATTGCCTTTGCTTTGACATAGTTGTACCACGAAGTTGTACCGTCATGACCAGTTGTACCGACTTGACCAGTTGAACCAACACTACCAACACAACACAGTTGTACCACCAGTTGTACCAACACAACACAGTTGTACTGACTTGACCAGTTGTACTGACTCCGCAATTGTACCGACCTGACCAGTTGTACCAACAATAACTAAATCCAAAAACAACCAAAATAACTAGTAGTAAATCCAAAAACAACCAAAATAACATCAACAATAGTTCCTACTAGTTCAAAACACAAATAATTGTGTCCAAAAGATTTTTTAGTTTTTTTCCTACTCCACCAGCACACATCAACCATAGTTCTTACTTCTTTCTCCTTCTCTTCGGCTGCACTTCCACAAATGGTGTCTTAATATGTTGGGAAGCTGCCCTTGTTAGCTTCTGTCCGGTTGCTATTACAGGTCCACCCTCTTGCTGCTTCCTCTTCTTTGTCTTCTTGCCCTTCTTCTTCTCTTTTCCTTTCATCTCTTCCTCATTATTTTTCTCCTCCTCATCACCTTCATACAATGTACAAAGAAAACAGTTTATTAGTCCATTTTAAAAGTTCAGGAATTAACCAAGAAACTTCTACACTCACCTTGTTCTGGAACAGTTGGAGAAATGGGATTATACATAACCAAATCCATGGTTTGACTCGGTTGACTCGGCTGCCCACCCTCAAAATCAGTTCTTGTCCCATATTGTGCTTCCACAGGCGACCCATATGGCGTAAACACCGGACCATGGGATGCCACAGCAACTTCAAGAGTCTTCACTCTATTCTCCATGTCACTCAACTTCTCATTAATGGCTTGAAAGCCATTGTTCACCACCTTTGTTAGTGAGTTTATAGATGCAACAAGGTTAGCAATATCAGAACTCTCTTTCTCAGGGACTTCTTGCTCAGGGACTTCTTGCTCAGGGTCTTCATTCTCAAGAAACTTATTTCCAATCTCTCGGGACGCCTGGTCCAGCTGGTACATTCCTTCCCACCATATCTTTTTCTTCTTTTCTACTAGACGCTCTCTCCAACTGTCAACAATGATATCAATCTGCCCTAGGCCATCATCAACATTATCTTCAATGATTCCAGCCAACAGAGATTTCTCATATTGGTCTGGTACCAAGATGCTGTCAATATCCTGTGAATACACACACATACATTTAACTTAGACTCTTGATCAAATACATGACACAAACCAAATAATCAAATGAAGACAGAAACTCTAACCTTGCTAGTCCCAAGCTCTTGATATATTTCTTCCAAAGGGATTTCCAAAGGGATACCTTTCATGGCAGATTCTTTAAACTTGTGCTTGCACATCCTTGGACAGTCATTTGCTGCACGTACAGGTACTCTATATTTCAGTCCAAGATGTGGAATAGCCTCATAAGCCAGAATCTACAAAAAAACACACACAGTTAATATCATAAAACCAAATATACAACTTCAAATACTCAGACATCAAAAACAAAGGATTACCTCCAGAGGTACAATGAATCCACTAAAGCTAGGTTGAGCTTTAGGTTTGACAGACCCATTCAAATTCTTCATCATATTCCGGATCCCTTTCATACATTCTGAGAATGAATACCTACCCCATGGATATGTCTCACATGCATCCAAATCATCAACAATCCTTACGAGAAAGGATACTATGTTGCCATCACTTTTTGAGCTTGCTTTTAGTATCTTGCATAGGAAATACAAGACTACTAACTTCTTCTTATCAGCTCCTTTCCAACTCTTCTTTTCCTTCAACTTAGCTAATACATCAGATGCCTTTATCTTCTCAGTCCTTTTGAAGATTCTCTTCACAAACCTCAAATTCCCCATTTCCTCATGCTTCTCCGGGTATTCCTTGCAATTCAACCCAGTTAGCAACGCATGCTCTTTAATAGGTACTCCATTAACCACAAACCAGCACTCCCTCTCAAGATCTGTGTCAACTGTGCGCAGCATAAGCATCCACATGCCTTGAGTCATGTGGTTTGGCTCCCTAGGCATGTGGAATACATGCTTGAACTGAGGGTGACTTCTGAACCATATTGCCTCGTCTTTAAACTCTTTCTCTATCAACTTCACTATCTCAGTCACATTACACCTAGTTCCTATTTTACACCCTTTGGTGTATTCTGAACAATCTAAGCACATCTTCTCTGGCGGCAGTGGCTGGGAATCATCTTCATCATCATCATTACCAGAATCATCATCAGCTGTTATACCAGCAACGTCCTTACTAGCTTCAGCAGCCTCCTCCTCTATACCATCTTTAGCAGCAGCCTCTTCAGCCTCTATACCAACATCCTCTTCAGCCTCTATACCATCTTTACCAGTACCAACATCACCATGCTCATCCTCTTCACCAGCATTACCAACAGCATCATCCTCTTCCTCATATGTATCCTGCATATTCAAAACACAATCGCGGAGTTTAAGTTGTTGAACTACTTATATCAAAACACACAATTCAAACAAGTATATAATCAGGATAAGTTGAACTAGTTGTATCATGACACATAAATTCAAACCTATATATTCTCCGCTTCAATTATACCAAGAACCAGCATCAAAAGTATATATACTCATATTCAAAGACAACCTAATTCACTAGTTGAACTAGTTGTATCTTGAATACCATTAATCCATTCTCAAACTAATGTATACCTGAGCAGTATCGGTCTCTTCCTCTTCCTCTGATGCACCCACGAGTTCCTCCTCTGCAACCTCTACTGCTCCAGTACTCGGTTCTATCGGACTCTCTTTTCCAAGTTGAATATCGGAATCAGCAACTGCTGCTTGTCCTTCAGCATCATCCCTTATCTCGGCGACGGTTTCGTTTCCTGAGTGACTCTCGGAAGCATCAACTTCTGCTTCCTCTGTCGGATCAGTTTGCATCCCGACGGTTTCACTTCCAAGTTTCACCATGGAAACATCTGGTTCTGTCGTATCTGCGGTTTCTTTTGCAGGTTCTACCATGGATCATATTCACCTTCCCCGTCTCTTACACGAGCCATTCCAAAATACCCCAGATTTCCGACAGATTAGGATATGAACAAAGATAACGGCGGTGCGAAATTCGACTTAAACGGTGAGAAATTGAAGAAAATCGACGAAATATGAGAAGAAATCGGAAAGAAATCGGAGAAGAAATCGGAGAAGTACTTAGGGTTTCGAAAGGGGATTTTTCTGAGAAAATACGAAACGGTTTCGTTTTCTTCTGTTTATCTCTCAGTTGGGCTTGCTGTGATGGGCTTCGCTCGAAATAATCAGTGGGCTTGGATCGGATCAATCGAAACGGGTCGCCGAGATCTGATGCTGGATATTTACTTTGGGTTTTTGGTCTTTTCATTATTCTGGATTTAAATCCCTTTAAATTTAATTCATCTAATAATAAGGGTGGCATTCCAGCCTTTTTATCCCCAGAAAGTGGCTTTCTAGCCATTGTTTACTTTGAGTGCGTGCTAGTTTAATGTTCCTCGACTTCGAATGTTTTTTGTTCGGTTTTTGTCTTTTGAGGTTTCGGACTAATGTAACCGGTTCCGGTAGGTTTTGTTTCTTGGTTTTTTGGGTTCGTCAGTATCTTTTTTCTTTTACAATTGGAGTAGCGAATATCTATAATCTGCATTTCAGTAACTTATCTAATTTATATGATATATATATATATATATATATATATATATATATGCCTCTATAACGGGTGATTAGACAGAAAATTACGAGTACAAATCGGAAACGCTTTCATAAAATAACAAAAAGAATAATTTGAATATCGAATTCGATATAGGAAGTTTGACATGTTATATTTCCAAAGTCTTACTAAACTGGGTTAGGGTCATATCGGCTAAAAGGTTTTGAGTTTTGAATATTATTAAAAAAAACATTCATAAGCTTTATTATTTATTAAGAAAAAGATTATACATATACTAGTAGTCTAGTACTATCATCAAAATTCAAATCCAGCTAATGTATTATTGGTGACAAACAAAATTATTAAATAACATAAATTCTTATCTAATAAAGTAAGGTTTTCACCAAACTCTTGTTTTAATAAGTTGGCATGTGGCATCTTTCCTTGTGAAATGTGTCTTTTGTCATTTTATCCTAATACCATTAAAAAAAGTTTTCACCAAACTCTTGTTCTAATAAGTTGACATGATGTATCTCATTCTTGTGATATGTGTCCTCTTTCATTTTATCCTAATACCATTGTTTAGTTTTTTTAACAAAAAAACCATTATTTAGTTTCATTATATTTAGTAATGTATATTATTAATTTTTTTAAACTATAATTTAATAGACACACATTTTTTACACTTTTCCTTTGTTTTCGTTTTCATCCATACAAATAAATATAAACATGAAATTATTTTATGTACGTTATTATTAGGGACCCTTTTAATGTGTCATTTTTATTAAATTAGATTGCTTTGCCTAGATTTTGTTTTTACAAATAGTATTTATTTCAAATACATCATCATCAACACCCTAATATCTTACACTATTTGTTATAAATAGTAATTATTTATAATTCCCACACCACACACAAATGCCCACATATGTTTTCAAAGCCTCACCTCACATATTATACGTTTGAAATGAGAGCATATCCATCCATCAGTGCATGACTACTAAATATATATATCACACCAAAATTTAACATCGTATTGGTAAAACTGAGTTAGTCAATTTTTTTTTTAATCTTCTCTAAATTTGTGCATCCGAAATGGGATATGTGTAATGTTAAAGCAAACATGTCCATTTTGTACGACCTAGAATTTTCATATTATTATCAACATAAGATCATCTTAGTTTTGAATCGTGCTGAATGGTTTTGTTTGATAAGTTTTAGATTTGGAAGTATTTTTTCTTTTAATTTACGTTTTTTTAATAATATTATTTTATATTGATAAGTGCACTCTATCTCTTCTTCTACCATATAGTTGTTACTTTTTTCCACATCTTCTACAACGCTTTTATCTCTCATCACTTAATGTAAAAGAGATTTTGATCAGAGCATAGTCCCTCTTTCTACTGCCAAATAATACATGCATGTAGGTAATTCTATCCATAAATGATTTAGTTATAATTGGATTGCCGCAACACTAACTGATATATCATGGATTTTACTGTTTTTAGCCATGATATATGTGTCAGTTTTAGAGTCTTTTTGTAGTTTCTAGAGTCTTTTCTAGTCTTTTCAGGGTTTTACACGTTCAAGACAAATTTGGAGATAAGGAACCATTCTGGAGATAAACCGGAGATCAAGAGCGGAAGAAACGAATTCGGTGTCAGACCAAGGCATGAGTGTCAACTGACACCCTCTGGTGTCGATCGACATCACACACAGCCCATCAACAGTCTCGTCGGTTTAAGAGTTTTAAAACCCGTAGGTGTCGATCGACACCACACGCGGCCCATCAACAGTCTCGTCGGTTTAAGAGTTTTAAAGTCCGCAGAATCAATTCAGAAGACTTCCCTATTTGCAACTTTAGTCTCTACATGTTTTTGAGACAAATAAATAGCTTTTAGGGTTTTCATTATTCATTATCAAGCAACTTTGCAATCTTCTTTTCTGCTTTGTAATTCTCTGAGCTTGAACCTTTTGGAAAATAATTGGAGATATCAACTTTTCAGAGATTTCAAAACCTTGTAGAGAGAAGATTTTTTCTAAACTCTATTCTACTTTTGATTTCTTTTATGCAATCTTGTTCAAACATATTTTATGTTTCATTAATCAAGTCTGAATAATCTTCCTGTTAGGTTTAGGGATTCTCATTAGGGATTTAAATGAATTAGTAGATCGATTACCTGTTAGGATTAATCTTTAGAGTTCTTCACCTTAGGTAGCTAACTAGAACTTGATCATAGGATAATAGGTTAATGCTAGTTCTAGAGTAGCTAACTAGAACTTGATCATAGGATAATAGGTTAGATCCTAAAGGGCGCTTGTTACTGGAACTATCTTAGGTGGGCAGAAATTACTAGATTCATACGAGATTTGGTCTAGGAATATCTGTGAACACATCAAACATGTTTTTAATGCTTGTCTAATTTTAGGAGTTTACAGACGAGAGTTGGAACTTCCTGCTATTAGGTTTAGTTAGTCAATGCGAGCGAGAGCTGATTGGCTATAGATTAGTGATTTGAGTTCTAGAATGGTTCGATAAATAATCCTAATTAATTTGCTAGATTTACTATATATTTATTTTCTGAGAATTTCCCTAAACATGAAGCCTTAATCTATTTGATCTTTCACCTGATTTAATTGCTTGCTTTTATTTTGCTTAATATTTTATTTAGCTTAATTTTGAGACTGTTAACTTTCTGTGTAAACAAAAGAATTTTGTGGAATTCGACCCTAAAGTACTGCAATTGATCTCCTATTTGAGAGAGTAGTCTTAGGAGTAATTTGACTCACATCAAATTTGGCGCCGTTGCCAAAGTCCTTAGAGAATCACCATTAAGTTTTGTTTAGAATTTTTTTCTAAATTTTTCTTTTCTTTAGATACTTACGCGTTTCTTTCTTTTCTTTTTCTTGTGTTTCAGATGCATGCCTAATCGCATAACTCGAAGCAGCAAAGAAAAGAGACTCGTCAATTTGTCTACGCTTGAATTGCCAAAGTAGGACGCACCAATCGCAAAGCTCAAAGTTCATCAACAATAGTTCGTGGAGAAATCAGAACTGATGAGCAGGGAGTTTTGAGAGATGATGATGGACAAGCCTACAATGAGGCTGGACAGAGATTGGACGATCACATGATCGTCATACTTGAGGATCCAATTATAGATGATCCGAACGCCCAGCTTGCTGCTGCGCACAACACAGCCACTGGAAATCTAATTGGTGTCAACCGACACCAACCGGGTATCGATCGACACCAACTACTAGCAGACGTGCAAATCAGAGATGGCCAACAGGGCCACTAACAACCGCCTGTTGCGACAGAACGTCAGCTGACTCTTGGGAATTACAACAGGCCAGAACTGTTCTATGCTAATCGATCAGCGATCGTACCTCCCCCATTCTAGAGAAATGATTTTGAGCTGAAACCCGCCTACTTCACTCTTGTGGGACAACATCCTTTCCATGGCTTATCTAATGAACAGCCAATGGACCATATCGAGCGCTTTGAGGATTTCCTTCACTCTTGATCTTGCTAGTTGCCTTCTTGACTCTAGCAAAACTTGCAGTCCCAGAGTTGCCATCACGAAAACAAACACAATAATGCCCTGTAAATATAAAGCGTGCATTATCAATTCTATTTTCTTGTGGAAAAGTAAGTTAGTAGAAAAAAACTGGTTAGAGGAATCAGAATAAAAACCAAACAAAGAAGTTATTAGAAAAAAACAGAAGAATCATACCACATGTTGCATCCGACGCTTTGTAATTGGATAGTGAAACTGGTTTAGTTTTCTCATGGCATTAGCTGTAAACCAGAGAATAAAACCAGACAAGAGATCTAAGAGAGAGCCAAAAGTTGAAGCAATCACAACCATGGATCTACTCTCCATAGCGGCATAAACTTTTGACACAAAAAGCACCAAATTTGTTGTGTTTAGTATGTGAACTGCATATCGCTCACTCTTTTAAAGCTTCTTCATTTCTTCCTGTTGAAAACAAAAAGATTGATGATTCATCTCAAAGTGACATACATAAGAAAAATAGTAGAGGCCAAACCTCAGTTAGAACACCAAATGCAAAACCAGTTTCATGGATAGTCTCCATCTCATTGAAACCTTCAAGGAGCCTCTCTTGCTTTTTGTAGTATTCAGAGACTCTACGTTCCTTTCATGCGATAAGACAACAATGAAGAGTGTTAAAACCCTTTATCAAGATTTAACAATGTTATAGTCGACTTTGATGGGTTTAACAATTTCTCAATCTCTCTAAAACGCCTTAAAACCTCTGTACATAGATAGAGAGAATCTGATTCATCATGCACATAACTTAAAAAAAAAACCAAAAATATGGGCATATGCAAACTTCAAAAGAGAAGCTTAAGATTCCCTCAAAAGCTTAACAACTTTGAATCATCCAAAAA